CGAAGTTACAGATTTGGCACATGACCGATGTGTATACACTGTTACAGGAAGAGATAGTTACAGATTTGGCACGACTGATGTGTATACACTGTAACAGGACGAGATAGTTACAGATTTCGTAGATGACTGATGTGTATACACTGTTACAGGAAGAGATAGTTACAGATTTGGCAGATGACTGATGTGTATACACTGTAACAGGACGAGATAGTTACAGATTTCGTAGATGACTGATGTGTATACACTGTAACAGGACGAGATAGTTACAGGTTTGGCACGACTGATGTGTATACACTGTAACAGGACGAGATAGTTACAGATTTCGTAGATGACTGATGTGTATACACTGTAACAGGACGAGATAGTTACAGATTTGGCACATGACTGATGTGTATACACTGTAACAGGACGAGATAGTTACAGATTTGGCACATGACTGATGTGTATACACTGTTACAGGACGAGATAGTTACAGATTTCGTAGATGACTGATGTGTATACACTGTTATAGTTGCAGATTTCGGATGACTGAGTGTATACACTGTTACAGATTTAGTTACAGATTTCGTAGATGACTGATGTGTATACACTGTAACAGGACGAGATAGTTACAGATTTGGCACATGACTGATGTGTATACACTGTAACAGGACGAGATAGTTACAGATTTCGTAGATGACTGATGTGTATACACTGTAACAGGACGAGATAGTTACAGATTTCGTAGATGACTGATGTGTATACACTGTAACAGGACAGAGATAGTTACAGATTTCGTATGACTGATGTGTATACACTGTAACAGGACGAGATAGTTACAGATTTCGTAGATGACTGATGTGTATACACTGTAACAGGACGAGATAGTTACAGATTTCGTAGATGACTGATGTGTATACACTGTTACAGGACGAGATAGTTACAGATTTCGTAGATGACTGATGTGTATACACTGTAACAGGACGAGATAGTTACAGATTTGTAGATGACTGATGTGTATACACTGTAACAGGACGAGATAGTTACAGATTTCGTAGATGACTGATGTGTATACACTGTAACAGGACGAGATAGTTACAGATTTCGTAGATGACTGATGTGTATACACTGTAACAGGACGAGATAGTTACAGATTTCGTAGATGACTGATGTGTATACACTGTAACAGGACGAGATAGTTACAGATTTGGCACATGACTGATGTGTATACACTGTAACAGGACGAGATAGTTACAGATTTCGTAGATGACTGATGTGTATACACTGTAACAGGACGAGATAGTTACAGATTTCGTAGATGACTGATGTGTATACACTGTAACAGGACGAGATAGTTACAGATTTGGCACATGACTGATGTGTATACACTGTAACAGGACGAGATAGTTACAGATTTCGTAGATGACTGATGTGTATACACTGTAACAGGACGAGATAGTTACAGATTTCGTAGATGACTGATGTGTATACACTGTTACAGGAAGAGATAGTTACAGATTTCGTAGATGACTGATGTGTATACACTGTAACAGGACGAGATAGTTACAGATTTCGTAGATGACTGATGTGTATACACTGTAACAGGACGAGATAGTTACAGATTTGGCACATGACTGATGTGTATACACTGTTACAGGAAGAGATAGTTACAGATTTCGTAGATGACTGATGTGTATACACTGTTACAGGAAGAGATATTTCACTGGAAATAAACCCTAACAGGCTCCCCCAGCACAACGGATTGTGGCAGGGTAGGCTGGCCGCCTCGGTCGGGTTGAGCTTTTTACGGGACACGCTCTTGTGTTTCGGGGCTCTCCTCGCCGGCGGTTTCTTGTCTGCCAAGACTCGGGCCTATCTGGTTATCTCCCAAAACTTTAGTCACCCACATCTTTGAGAGTCTACCGCGAGACAACAAACTGGCAATACTTAAGCTGCAGCTGCAGCAAGGCGAAAAGACTCAGATCCAGTCCCTGGATGCAGTCGGACACTTATTGCATCTTGGGTAGTGAAATTTTGTATCTGGATTATAGTGGATTATGTGCTACTAATGGACTTGAGAAATGGTCATGATAATTAAGTATGATTAAATAACTTATTGTTATTGATGTGATGTCAAGATGTATGATTACCAAACTGACAAAATACTATCTTTATTGTTTATTTATAAAGATAAATATGCTGAATCAAGATAAAGTCTTATCTAATTGATTCTACTGGACTGATCCATTATAAGAAATAGGTATCAGCTTTAGGATTAGTTGTGCACTCAACCGGAAACGTTGTTTTAAGGTGTCTAAGATAAGGGTGTCCAAGTATCGGGAGGTTAACGTCTAGCTGGTTGATCCTGGACTAAAGTGTTTATGGAAAGAAAGTATGTATAAACATTACATAGACACAAACTCCATATATTATATATATAAATATTTATTCATGAACATGTTCAAGTGTATACTTGTAACAATGCCTCGTTTCCGAGGTATATGAAGATAATGAGGTAAGTGAACGATGGGGGAGTGAAACATATCCACATTTTGGCACTGCTTGGCTCACTTGCCTAGCTTAATATGAATAGCATTATTCTATGTACATGGACAGAAGCTAAATATTAGCATAACACATGTGCCCATCATAGCACAAGATGATAGTCGAGGTATATAATAGTAAACTAAAAATTGCGTTTTCGGTGAGAAGAAAATTCAGAAAAAAGAAACTATTTATTAAAAACTGTTTAAAAATCCAAAAGGTTTAGCATATGCCTACAAATACTAACGATCACAATAAAAAATATTTTGACTGAATATATTTTGAAAGGAGTCGTGGAATATAACGTTTGACATTAGCAGTATCTGGCCACTTATCCATAGGATAAAACAAAATAACACACTTTTTAAAAGCTGATATTATATATGATTTTGCCCATGGTGAAATTGGCAATAAATATGAACAGAATGTAAACAATGAGTATTGTGTATTTGTCAGCAAGAAGTAGCACTTGGGTAACTGTCAACACTTAGTGTTGACAACATCATGTGTTGGACCCATGTCAAAAACAAAACTATTGTTCACCATGTCATGTAAATATATCAACGAAAAAAAAGTTGAAAGTTGCACCCTGTCTGGTCACAAGCCATGTTAGCACGTAAACGTGATTTCAGCGGTTAAGTGCGGTGATATACACTGACTGAGATTCCCATATATTTTAAATGTATATACAGATCTTGAAACACACCAGTCACGTTTGTTACACAGCAACAATTACATGAATATTCATATACATCTTTGACCTTTCAGCGGTCAGTCATTCGTCATTAATTTAACATTCTTATCCCGAACTATTCATTAGCATATATCCAGTCTATATCTTTGTGGACATCTGCCTCTGTCATTTATACACATCATTCGTCACAATTCGTCCATATCCTTGACCTTTCTCGGTTTCATTTATACACATCATTCTTTATACTTCGTCCCTTTCCGTAACCTTTCGGCAATGTCCGAATGACACGAGTGGTTACGACTGTTCACACACGTGGCTCAGCCACGATCACACAACCTCTGAGACAATGATCACAGTTTTGGCCCGTCGCTGCTCTTTCTTGAGCAGGTGCTCGGACAGCATGTAACACGCCATGCCGATGATGCAGACACTACCCATGATGTAGATCTTGCTGGCCATACAGAAACTTTGAGCGTAGGCGAAGGTGAGGGTGGATCCCAGGCCCTGCATGATTCTCAGGCCGGTGAAGGCGTTCTCGAATTCGTCAGGAAACAACACGCCCATCAGACCTAAATGGAGACAATAAGACAGATTGTAGATGTTGCCTTTTAAACTAGAAAGATATATTACAGTCCAAACAGGTAGCAGACCGATATCATTCACTGGTCCAGATGCCACCAAATTGTCCAACTAGAAACATGTATCATGGACCATTTTGACGTTTCTGTCCACATTCTTATTTAATCTCTCATGCAGTGCTGCCTCAAGTTTCCCTAAGCCTCTGCAGTTCCGCCTGGGAAACTATATACCCAACAGGAGACAGCTTTAGTATCATGTCTGTAGGCACCTTGATAGAAATGACAAATCTACTCCTGTTTTGTGACCTTGACACCCAAATTTCTCGAATTAGGCGTTAAAATTCATGTCTAATGTACATGGCTCTACTTAATTATTACACAAGCCATATAAGGCCGGGGGCAAGAAAAGGTTTAACACATTGTGTAGGATCGAAAGAGGTTAGCGTCACTAGTAAAGGATTCAACCACTAGTCTACCAGAGCCTCTCAGTTTTGTTTCCTTTCATGAACAGACTGATCTGTAACTGATACCATTGATGTGTAATCCCTTGGTCTAAAGTTAATGTTAAGGCTTGTGTGTAATACAGTACATAAATACATTACAACAGTGAGCAGTATCAGAATTACCCAACGGCAAATAGCAATTACAACGTGAAATTCAAGCTACCAAATGCTCATTCAGCTTTGACAATAAGCTGAGTGCAGAGGGTGGGTGATAACAACAGTTATACAACATTTTAACTTACTCTGGCTCTGTGCCAACCAGATGCCATCTGCGAAGCCCCAGAAGCCAAACAGGACAAATAGTATGACGAGAGAGTCTGGTGTCGGCGACCACAGTGACATGAAGGTCAGAAGAGCGAGGTTACAGACCACAGCTGAAAAGCGAAGATTTATAATTGAATGACACGGTTCAAAGATGCAGCCAACCCCTCACACATCCCTTATTCCAATGTAGACATGGGGAAAGAGGCGGGAGATTTTCGCAGGCAAAATACCCACTGTTAGACTATGCTAATCTTACTAGTGGTATGCAACCACGGAACCTATGTGCAATGGAGTTATCCCGCTTTTCTTTTGGGCATCGGCAAAAGCCAACCAAAAACAAGTTTGAAGAGCATGGGCGACTTAAGTGATACTGTCTTGCTGTGACAACTATCGTGTAACAAATGTAACTCCCTGAGTTAGGAATATTTTACAGGTCTTAAAAATATACTTCCACGCGACTTCCGTTTTCGATAAGGTGCACATTTTTTTGCTTTTGGTTTTCTTTGGTTTCCTAAATAAAGGTGTTTTTGAGGGAAAGAACTGAGAGCAAATTTTCGATTTACGAATGTGTCCTCAAGATTTTCTTTATGAAAAGTGATATTTGCAACATGACAAAATGGCAAAATGTCAATTATGATAAATTTTGATAGAAACCAATCACAAAATGTTGTGCATGTCATTACAAGACAAACTCAAATATTCCCTTCTCTGAATTCTCTCTATTTGCATTTTATTAGAACCGCATCAATTATGAGTTTGATCCTAATATGTACAAAACAAAGATATTCAAAACTTTTGCAATGTTATTTTGAACGTACTCTTCTTCACAAAACACTGAAGAGAGAGAGTTCGACATTGCTGCATCAGCTTCGCTTACCTTTATCACATGACAATCATGTGATACCACAAACACAGTTTTGGTTTAGTAGATAGATTTACCAATGGGGGTGGAGTGAACCTTTTGATCTGTTACAGTTTATAAAAAGGGGAAGTCAAAGTGGAAGAATTCATGTGTAAAGCAAAACTGGGACAACACTGCCCAAACTTTATTTTAAACATTTAAAGAGAGATACCAAGACTGTGTTTCTTTCTCTGAAATATGCATTTATTTGGTGCAAAAGACTCGATTTTTGATAATTTCCAGAGGTATCATTTACACAATATTCATCGAAAGTGGTATCAAAGTTCCCGAACTATTAACTGGATTTCTTTTGCACCAAATATACATGAAATGTACAATGCCATTGATTTTTCAAAATTTGGAAGCTTTGTTACCAGGAAACAATCATAAATGTTTCTGAAAAACTGTCGTTATTGCATTATACATCTCATGAGGATGGCAAAATACACATTCTTGCAGACTGAAAATCCTAAAGAGATATGGGTTAGATGGCCAAATGCAGTTAGGTTGGGATGAAATGAGCTTTTAAATGAGTTTTGTTACTTTATTTATACATTATTTAAATACTTACCTCATATCGCCATGGGGAACATCGACAGTGTTATTGTTCATAGAGTGTACCTTTGTTTACAAATACACTTTATATGCATGCCTAACTTCAGTACCAATTAGAACCAAGTTAATGGATATTGTCAGAATTCGTTGCTTCATCAACAAGCATAACTTTAGGTTTCCAGTTTGCAAGAATCATTAAGTATGTAAACATACATTGTTCTCATGGGCTCGCCTGTATCTATAGTCAATTTCAGGAAGTTGTAGACTATATATCAAGGTTTTATATTTTATAAAAGAAATGATCGTTGAATTAATGAATTTGTATGGTTTAAAGAAACGAAAATTTGAAAATGAATACGATTTAAAATATTGCACTTGTTACTTGAACTGGGATAGGGATAAAACAATACATATTACGGTGCAACCACACACTGCTTCTGAGAATATCTACAAGTTGCTGAAATGGACTATAGTATTTTAGGCAGATCGTAAGTGACGGGGAGCGTAGTACACGCAACGCATCGGACTAAGCGGCAGAAGATTCAGTTCCCAAACGAATAACGATTAAACCTTTCATGTCCAGATTTGTCTAAGGAAGAACGTGGCAAAGTTTCTATTTGAAATTCCGGAAAATAATACAGAAGCATTCTCACAAAAAATTAACATTTTGGAGTTTGAAAATATTTCAGTTTAGAACAAGATTGTAATTTTGTTGAATCTTCTGTTGCCTAGCAGAGGCGTGAGGGTGGTTCGATGCAGGAAGTACTGTGGAAGGATACGCCCATGCGCATGCCGAGAGTGATTTCGCGTAGAAAAGCAGAACTTGTTATTCCTCCATTGCTTGAATTTTGATAGTCGCCAAAAGGATGCATCTACATTCCCAGAAATTGGGGAATGACAAGCCTATACAAACTAACACAATGTATTGCCTCTTCGCCCAAATCCACAGAAACATTGGGATGTGCGATCCGGGTGACCTGTCAGAACACACTTCAAAAGCAAGCACGTGACTACCTGGCACCTTACCGTCTCTTCTCCTGGGCATGTCTGCGCATGCCCATTACTTACCAATCACCAACATCGTTACATCGGAACACCATCCCCTCAGACAGACGTCTATGGTCATTGGTCAGCATTGTCATCGTATGGGTAGCTTTCTATAACGTCATATCAGATCAACAATGCTGGATGGAACTGACTATTTGCCAAGCTGGCAAGTCGAAGTCTTGGGAGACTGCATTCTTACTATGGTGGCTTCTTTGGTCTGCCACTTGTGGTGTAAAACCACAGTTAAAACTCATGGTACTGAAATAGAATCAGGCAAATGGAAGTTCAGAAAAAGGAAATATAGATCGCGAGTCCGCCAGCCCAAGCAAGTGGACTCAATCTGGTGATGTTCGGCCATGTTGGCGGCCATTAAGAATCATCACCGACAAGGTTCAGCAAGGCTGTTATAACTGTGATGCAGAGAGGGAGGAACAAGTACACCAACAACGGGTTTATTATCTCATATTCACCGGCAGTATAGTTAATACAACTCTTACTGTCTAGATTTGTGGAGATGGCATCATGGTTCCTAGATTCGTTTATTTTCATATTCATCACGAAAAATAGATTCATGAGTAAAAATTTACATGGTGGTCAAGAAAAATAATAATGATTTAAAATACAGGTACAATTTTTTTTATGGCGCCTGCTTTCAATTAATAAAAAACATTATTTTGGGCAACAGAATTTAGAACCTGTCCGTTTTTATTCAAGGTCGAAATCTGGACAGGTTTCAATAGTTCCCTGCAAGATTCCCCCTCTCTAGCAACAACAGACGGGAATAAAAGCTTATAATTAAGATATATTTAATCTACATTAACACTGACAGCCATATATACCCATGATAATAATTCAAATAATCCCTACATACATTTATATGAGTCTATGTAAAGGGATGTAAATAATTAGTACCATGGGTATATAAAGCATTAACTATATCATTCTCATTAAAGTGATTACTTTAAGAAAATTAAAATAGTATACGTACATATTACTGATACGTATTGAGAATGATATTTAGGTACGTTATCGATATATATTAATGCAACTCTACTTTTAACGTACTACAAACTATATCATTTTTTGTTACAAAAGGTAGCATCAATAGTAGAAACAAACCTATAGCAATCAGCACAATCCTTCCCATGTATTTGCACAACCATCCACTAAGGTAAGCGCTGACACTTGCGGACACGCCCATGCAGATCATCATGTAGCCGACCATGTGCACGCCGATGGGACACGTCACGAAGGCCTGGAATAAATAATGTTCTTTATAATATTGTTCATAAAAGTTTCCATCAGGTCGACTAAGAAAAGCCTCATAATCCTAGTTCGATCAACATTAGACAAAGGACTGACCATGGGGTTACGTAAACATTCTCATAATCTTGGTTCCAGGAACAAAGGACTGATGATGTGAGAAGAGATGATGGCCATGGGACCTATCGGAGCTTCAGATAAATCTCGTGACTGCTCAATAGGCCAGGTATCAGAAACAAGGTGCCCGTATTACTCATTCACTGAGGATTGTTTAATTCTCGGGTTTATGGCGTGTCCTTGGCTATGTAAAACAATGCCCAATGTAGCAGGTTATTTGACAAAGATCACGCTGCCAACATTTTCGTCTGTTATTGGTAACATTCAGTAATGAAAACTACGAATTGTATCAATTAATGCAGCATTATATCAACACGCACCTTTGTAATCTCAGCAGTAGCGAATCCTTGTTCCATGGCGCCGAAGAGCAGGAGAGGACAGAGGAGCACGAACTTCCGGTTCACGATGAACTTTCCAAGGGAGACCATCTGTGATTTGACCATGCCGCAGGTCATGACGGTGGAGAAGAGGCGGCTGTTGAGGGGCTCCAGAAGGAAGAGGACGAACAGGAGGGCTAAAAGCATGCAGCCAAGGTAGATACCGAACAACAGGTACTTGGCAAAGTCGCTGACTGTAGTTCCGGAGTTGCTGATGGTGTAGTGGTGGCAGTAATTGGACCCGCATATTGAGAAGTTGGAGGAGGAGTCAATATCACCGAATGATGTGGAGTTGACCATAGGGTTACTGGATATGGAATACATGTAATCTGATAGATTCTGTGCAGGAATGATTACGCTTTCGTTTGATGTTGTCACATTGGAAACGTCAACGGGGTTTGCGTATGTGAGGACAAGAGATGCGATGAGGTTGCCAAAGACCATGTAGATTTGGTACAACAGACAAAAGATGCCAAAGAATCGATTCAGAACGCTTTCATAATCTTGCTTCCTTTTCTCCGAGTAGCCCTTGGCCAGGAATGTAATGTAGGTGCTCATGGCGTTCCACATGATTGCGGTGCTGATGCCCTGCAGGAATGAGATGGGACCCATCAGCCACATGACTGGGTAGAAGTTAGCAGCAATGAACAGGACGTGTGGGAAGAGAGAAGCCAGGAGGGACTTATAGGGATCAAAGTTCTGCACAATGAACGGACTGAAGATGCTTCCAAGCATGAAACCCAAGCAGCTGACAGCAAGAGACGTGATGCCAACGCCACCTTCATGGTTGATGCTGCTCTGTAGGTTCCTTAGAGAACCGCACGCGATGAACACCATAGTGTTGCAAATGCTGAGAGCGAGGAGGTTGCGTGTGTGGCGCCCGCTGGGTACGATGTTGTGGTCGACGACGTCATCAGGATCCTTCTCTTCATCTGGAGGTAACTTCGACACGTCTTTGTAACTTCCTGGCAGAAGGAGAGAGCTAGCCACCCGCTCGTCCTGAAGGTACTTAAGAGCCTTTTGACACGCAAAGCTGAGATTACTGGTACTGGACAGTTCTCGTTGAGACGAGAAGTAACCTGGATGTTCAATACGGCCTATGATAGGTGCATCCACTTCTTTTGCAAAGCTCCACATGCTCTCAGTTCTGTTTAGCAGTAACTGGCTACAGGAGACATCAGATGTTACAGAGTTTATGTAATTTTTGTTCTCGAAACAATCAGGTATATCTATCACAGCTTCGCTTTCTGAGATCTTTGAGACGTTTAACAATGACCTTCTCTGGTCTGATGTCGACTGTTCATGGGTGGGGGAGTCGTGTTCACTGGTTTCTTTCACCTTGTGCTTTGCTGGAAGCAGGAATTTAGAACTGTCGGTGCTACACAAGGAGTCCGTGTAATCACTATTACTGTAGGTGTCGCTGCAGGACGACAAAGAGTCTGATCGAAGTTCACTTGTGGATTGCCCGAAGTTGTTCCCTGAATCATAATCACAAATTCTGTCTCCAGTGAACACGAAATCATCACCCTCGTTGTTGTTTCCTGTTAAGCAGGCTATAGATACAATTGGATAGTCATTGTCCGTGGCGGAACTGGGAACCGTCTCTTGGGCAGAAGTGTACATGGTCAATTGGTCACAAGGAATGCTTGTCACGGGGTAGTTGTCCACATCCATGCGTGTTCCGAGCAAGGCTTGACTAACATTTCCAGCGTCAGGAGGTGGGTCTTCCAGTAATTTCCCGTTGTCAAGGAGACCAATACCAGGATGCGAAGACTGAGAGTGAACTTCGCAGGGCTGTTCAGCAACCATACTGAAAAAGCTGCAACAAAGGAAACAGTGTTTAGGGAAATATTACATGACTCTCGATGTTGTAACCTTCACCTGTTACCTATTTCTGAGTACAAGTTACCCTACAAAAGATGTTTTTTGGCCAAGGGTTTAATAAAAGTATTTCAATTAGGATAGGAACCGTATAGCATAGCATTTTGGTCCGTCATGTCTACTGTATGACAGAATGGTGGCTTGAATTTTTTATGCCTTGGCTTTCACTCTATGTGGAAGAAAGAAAGACCACAAAACAGATACAATACGGTAACTCTTTGTTATTATATATGCTGCTATAGTACATAGTATTATAGTATATATCACTGCCAAGGAACAGTTTCTTCCGGGCCTGATACATGAGTGGGTAGGTACGGTTTTACGCCGCGTTTTTAGGTCGGGTGGGATGAGGGCCAGAGACACTAAAAATGGGCTTCATACATTGTACCTGTGTGGAATCGAACTCGGGTCTTCGGCGAGACAAACAAACACTTTAATAACGAGGCTACCCCACCGCTCTGGACCTAATGCATATGTCCTTTTGTATGACCAAATCAATATCGCGTTTGATATCTAGAATGCGCAGCTGGACCACCTCTGTAATACAGTGGATACAGCGTTAGCCGGGAGAGCGGAAAGTCGGTGGTTCGATACCTGACCGCGTGAAAGTATTTAAACACATGTTAAAAGATGGTACTTGTAGTTACCCTGTTTGACTTCTAATCAGAGAACGCTTGGACAAGCCAAATCATTTTCGGTAGGACCATTTTAACAGAGTGATCGGGGTCAGAGGGCTCTCTCTCTCGCGCACGCGTCTTGATCAAAATATTCGAGTGTCTCCCGCGGATATTCAGTCATGTGATTCTCGCCCAAACTATTTCCCCAGCTGCCACAAACCACTGAACTCACGATCAGCTGCACTGTGACCTGACCTACATCCGGTTACCGAGTATAAACACAAGACACGTGGACAGGAGAAGGCCGTGTTTAAATAACCAGCCAATCAGAACACAGGAAACTGATCCACCGCGCCCTGCACAGCATTCGTTTCTTTGTTCGTGAGGACGTCAGCCTCGAACTCACACTGCAGTGCGGTCGTTCAGACTTAACAATATGTCATATGTGAACGATCCACAACCAGAGGTTGGATGAAGTACTAATATTGACGTGAAAATTACCTATACATATATTTGAAATGTTAGCCCCTGAATATATGCTTGTCGGTGTAGGAATGACATGCATTTTGAGCATGAGATCTGCGCATGCCATTGCGAAAGAAAGCAAAAAAAACCCACTGCTATATGTTCTGTGTGATTTATTTTATGTAACTTGAAATACTTGCTTATGGCAGTATATTAATAGCACATATCCTGTTCAAAACAGTCAGTGAATGGTCCAATATTTACCTTTTCTATTTTAGAAATATTCTGATGCAATACATGCCATTGTGAAACAAGGAAACAAAAAACTGATATGCGTTTCGGCGGAGGTAGTGACTCATGGCTGTTATATTTATCTAGCGTGAGGTAATGGCTTTTAGCAGACATTATACTGTATCACTGAAAAGAAATCGAAGAGAGCAAAGTCGAAAGAGCCGGGACCTAGTCTGCCTCACAGTCCATGAAGCGCATTATCTTCTCTTTTGACTAGCCCTTTCTGCAACGCTAAAGCCTTAAATGAAGCAAGTCTAGATTTTCTCTTGTTCCAAATCCCCTTTCTCACTGGGGTTCCTTTCAATTTGAACAGAATTATTTGTTACTATCAAAATTATATATATTTAGAGATTGAGCGTTAGTGTACCGGGACCCTGATGTGTAGGCTTGCTCCAAGGCTGTACTGAATGTAGACTAAGGCTTAGTCTCTGAATATATATAATTTTGATAGTAACAAACAAGCCTAATTATATTGAAAGGGAGTCCTAGGGAGACCAGAGATTCTGAACCTGAGGAAATCTAGACTTGCTTTATTTAGGGCTTGGCAGTAGGGAAATTAATGTGGTTCAGGGACTGTGAGACAGACTTTACTGAATGCTGAGTCCATGCATGTATAGTACTTCTATCCTTCGAAGCGGCAAGTCTAGATAAGCGGACAGTGCACTTAAGGACCCCAGTCTGTTATATATAAATTGTTTAGAAATTATTATTCAAACTATTAATCGTTACCTTAGAGACTTGTGCAAGTCTACCGGATGTGATACATATGATGTGTACCCTGTCTTTGATACAGCGACACCAGGTCGTGCTGGTGTCATGGTGACATCTGTTGTTTAACAGCTACCGAAATCAATACGTATCTAGTCCTCTACACACGGCCATAACAGAGCAGATATTGTTCCAGCACTTAACATATCTGCGCAATGAACAACATAGCGAGATTACTGTATCGATCTATGCTGTGTCTATATAATCGTGGTCCCCATGAAATACTGCGTTAGACGTGGGATGCAACAACAGATTATTAATTCTATCTCTGCGTATGGATATGTTATACATTATACATGTCTGAACCAATAGCATTACCGGGATGAAACACGGGAGTTACGCGTCATATCATCTCAGTAGGCTATATATAGCCCTATAATACCTTCATGGTCCTGGACTTTACAAATAGTCAGGTATACAAATACATCCTTCACCAACGTTGCTAAGTAAGTGTTGTTATCTTGAGCGCAACGTTGAACCCAGTTTCTGATTTTGCATACACAAAAAACATGTATAGTCAGGTTTTGTCACCTACCATACATAGTGGTTATCAAGTGTTATGAATAATTTGATTAATAGACGGGACCAAGTCGAGCCTAGCTACAACTGTCGAAGTGACAACTCGCAAGGCGTGATTGCCAGAAACTGACGACGATGATGTATCGCTCGTGCCAAGATAGATATGATGAGTACCGGAGTCTTAGCACAGGATTACTGTAAATTCCTGTGCAAGATTCCGCATTACTGTAAATTCCTGTGCAAGATTCCGCATTACTGTGCGCGTGAACAAACAACTGGCAATAATCACTCAAAGCCTGAACACCATCAGCGACCGAGGTTGAATTAGCATGGAACCAGACTTCAAACAGCGCGTGTATGGCGGAATGATCGAAATGCGACTCCTCAAGTCACGGTGTGGGGTTAAGGTTACTGATGTGAGCCCTGGCCAGACGCTTAGACGGTTTAAGGAGTCAATGAATTTTGTACTTGCACAGCATCAGCAAGTTTGCAGCGTATGACAGACCCGGCGACTAACATAATGGTTTAACGTCACCGGTAGCAATCTTGAATATCTGCCTGTATGGCACAGTAACTGCCGATCGGCACAAACTTGAAATGCAAATTATCGCGAGATAGGATATAAAACATGGGCACTAGACATTTTCGATTTAAACAGAACAATCACCAAGGAAACACGATCAGCTGGGACTGTATCGATCATGGTGTATTTATAGTTTCATGGCAGGCGTGTATTGCAATGAAGTCGAATATTGCCAAGTCAGCAATTTCGCAGCACAACATATAAAACGCAGGCCTTTACCTAAGAATCATTCTCAGTAACGATGGTAAATAAATACATCGACTTGAGCTCAGGAGACTTTGGGGAATATTCACTGACAGATCAAAACGAGCGGCCATAACACCAGCATTGGTCTGAACAGTATTCGCCCTCAAACAACTAGGCGCCCGGCTTGAAGGTCACCGCTCTTCTAGAACACTGAGGGCATTTATTATAATACTTAATGGGATATGTATTGATCCACCGTTGTTTTAGCTGACGTAATTGAATTGTGAGCATTTGTTCGCCATTTTTTTAAGACGAAAGTTTTATTTGATTTCCCACAAGAACAATTCCTTATTAATGTCGTATTATGAGCACCACAACCACTCTGATACATGTAGTTCTTGGGTGGGAAGTGAACAGCAGATTCCAAGGAATAGATGATCAGTAACTTAAAGGACAACAAATCCTGTTATGTCTTGACTGGAGAGCTACAGCAACTAGTGAATAATGGGGTCGCCTTTGGTAAAATAACACAAAAGGACTTAGGTGTTCAACATGATCTGTAATGTGAGACCTCGTCCATCAGTGTCATGTTTTACAGAGAAAAACTAAAACCAAAACACGTTGTCATGACAATAGACTTGAAGTGACTCATCAATTGTCAGGGGGAGGCTGTGTAAAAACTGCATAAGGGTTATAACACTTCATCCTTAGAATAAACGTCTCTTGGATTTGTCCGTTTGAAATGTTTCTTTCTAAATGGTCATTTCTAACAAACTTTGATGATTTAACCAACCGCGTTTGTTCCGTGGAAAACAAAATCAAGTGAGGAGCACTTGCCATTTTTATCACCGTGGAGTTATTTCTAAGTGTTTACTTAAACTACACTATCCTTCACAGTTTAAACGCCTGTTTCGTAGTCAAGTCATTATGCAGGCTACAGGTTATTATGTAAATGATCGCAGCGTAACGCTTCGTGACTTTACCCAATATCCAGAATATTTACACAGAAAGGCTTTGAGGTCAAAGATTTGCTTTCGTAGTCCGTGGTGGACAAACCACAAGCCTTGCGTATGTCTTTTACGTCCTATGGAATCGGCTGATATTCCAAAGCGTTTTTTATCCATACACAGAAATAAACGACCTTTTCCATGTTTATACTATACTAATGCTTAGTCTCTGAATATATATAATTTTGATTGTAACAAATAAAACCATTTAAATTGAAAAGGAGCCCCAGGGAGACCAGAGAACCTGTGGAAATCTAGGCTGTAATAAAAATAATATGGTTCAGGGACTGTGAGACAGACAATGTTTATAACTATATTCATAACTCCCGATATTCATAACCCCATGGCCAAACAGATTTCACGCTTGACGCACCAATCAAGCTTAACAGTCCAGCAGGAATGAAAAAAACCAATTGATCACATTGTGGCACGACGTGATAATCACTTATATAGATCAGGCAGCTGACCAGAGGGTCAAAAGGGTATAAGCCTAAGACCAGGCCCGATCTATTGAATGTTTCTGTAGACACTGTTACAGTTCAGAGATTAACGGAAACACTTTCTGATTGGGCAATGCTCGACTGCTGTTCTGGTTGTGAATACGGGTACATATGTAACTACCATATCGACCTGTTGGCCGCTGACCTGCCTAGTCTGTCGGGGCATTGGTTTATCAGAATGGTTCCCTTATGCGTTTAAGAAACGTCTTACCAGAGTTTGGTCCCGAGGATTATCGACATTCTTTTATTCTCATAACATGGGGCGTGGTGCGTGCATGTTAGTCTGTCTCACGGTCCCTGAATCGCATTATTTTCGCTTCTGCTTATCCCTCCCTGCAAGGCTAAAGCCCTAAATGAAGCAAGTCTAGATTACCTTAGGTTCAATTTCCCATCTGACTGGGGCTCCATTTCAATTTAAATGGGTTTATTTGTTACTATCCAAATTATGTTTATCCAGAGACTAAGCGTTAGTGTAAGGTGGTGTATATGTAAAGAACCAGTTCCATTTTGGTCTTCCAGGACCAGGGAGGAAAGGCGGCATACTGCTGATGCATAATCCTCACGAGTGGCAGCCAGACCAAACACTGACTGACTGACTGAGCTTAGTTTTACGCCGCTTTTAGCAATATTCCAGCAATATAGCGGCGGGGGGACACCAGAAATGGGCTTAAAACATTGTGCCCATGTGGGGAATCGAACCCGGGTCTTCGGCGAGACGAGCCAATGCTTTAACCACTAGGCTACCCCACCGCCCCCAGACCAAACACAAAGTATATTAAACCTAAACATGTATATAACATTATTTCGATTCCGAATTCGGTTTTGCAGCAAACACTATGTATGCAAGTAGAATTTTATCGGTGGAGGGTTGGACAAAGGTCTCCTTGTGTAAATTTGCTGATAAAAGTAAAAACATCCTCCAGCTCCTAATGCTATAATAGATGATCACGTGACACTACTTTTCAGTGATATCAGTTGAAAAACAGACACCAATGAAACAGTTCCCCCTTCATTCGCCAGGCTGAATATGTTTGCGAAGCGGAAGACTTCACTCGATGGAGTTTTTCACTGCAGCGATTCAACATGGCGGCTTCTAGCATGGCTTTCATTGTCCTTGAGGTCATACGAGCGAGGAAAACATCCTTAACTATGGTACTTATTGACCTAAACAGCATATTTTTCTGTAATTGTTTAAGTTAACGTACATGACAGAAAAAGACGTTTAGGTTTATATCGGGGTCGTGGTTGTAATCGTTAAAAGGCACATGGCGTCTCAAACCTTTTGTAAACAATGTGACACCTGCGAAATATATTTCGACATTTAACAATTTATATCATGACCTTACTGGTTTGTAAACTATGCTATGCAGTGGACAATGAGGCCTAAAGTCGTGACGTTTCAGCCACTGTTTCAAATAAACGTAGAAGATCGTTGTATGATATAGTCATTTAGTTCATGGCTGTCTCCATTGTTTAGTAAGCGAAACGATTTTAGTCTAGACACTGTGATTTGTATATATGGTTGGATGTAATGACACATAGATGTATATAGAAGCCATGCTGTTTAACTGTTTGTGTACCAGACCAACAAAAGCCATTGTCACAGCTCTGACAATGATACTATGATAAGACATTAGATAAAACTGCAACGAGACACGAGTACATATCCTTTTTGCATCACGGAATTTATCCGATGTTTTTCATTTTTCTTGCCTCATGACATGACTGTGAACATACATCAATATCTATATTTCTCAATTACAACAAATATATCTTTTGTTAGACGCGTCATTGTCAGTCGTACAACACACTTAAAAAGATCGTCACAATGTCGACAATTAATTAAACCATGTCTTTTTTATTATAATTAAAGCAATTACCAAAGACATTTTAAACAATAAAAGGCAGAGGATCTAGTTCAGTCCAGTTCTTGCCGGCCGAGCAGCGGTGAGCAATCGATCGTCTGCTCCAGCGAACGCAGACGATGCCGGCTCGGTAGAAATGCGAGACGCGATGTATGGCGTATAATTAAACATGAAAAAGAACATGATTGGAATATATCACTCATATATTGTATATGGGTTTGTGGCAACCTTACCTTGTGGTGGAATGAAAGAACGAAGTAGCTTTGAGTTGGTGACTATTTCTCACAGTATACCGCGGCGTCTGTGGTAACGCAGAAAGGCGATTCTATCGCTCCTTTTATACAAGGCTCCGGTGGCCGATCGCATCAAAGTGGAGGAAAAGTCGGAATATTTAGAAACAGATGTCGTGACAGCTGCAAAACATCTCGTCGGGGAACTCTAGGATGTAATTCTTCCTCTATGTGCAGATCTTTAATCAAATAATGTCATTTTCGTCATTCCAATTAAGGCTTTGTTCTTATACCGACACGATGTCGGAGAACCAGACACCCCTTCAGTGAAAATAAACTGTTCCACTAATCTTCTCACAGGAGAGTCACATGACCAAGCGCGACCACATTCATCGTCCAGTCGCTCGGTTTAGAAATTCTAAGAGTAAGTATTCATTAAGGTTGGAAATATCCATGGGAAAGGACGATGTAGAGTGTAATAGGTTCGAGTAGAACGCAGCAGTATTTTTTTTATACAGGAGTACAAATTGAATTTGAAAACCGCAATGTCACTAAAGGATAATGTTTCTTTTTAAACTGTATTCTCTGATGATCCCCGTACAATCCCGCCCATTGTAATTTACAGTACTTGCTCAATGCGGGTTTCTCGGAAACAAGATTTCTTGATCTAAACAGGATAGGCATTAGTAATAATCGGGATGGAATAATTCAGTTTCATTTCATTTATTCGTGTATCACCACCGTTGGAATTACAAGAGCACATTTTTAGCAGTTACCAAGCCATAAATAGTGCGATAACAAAGGTCCTGACATTTTACAATTATTTGTCAAGGAATGACGCAATAATGTCAGACATGTTTGTATCATGGACACTGTGATGATATCTCGGAAAAATGATTTCTTGTATCTACACAGGATAGTCATTAGTAATAATCGAGATGGAATATATTTAGATCTGGATCTATTACAAAGGTGTTGCATTGATAATTAGTGGTTTCACCAAGACAATGATAGTGAAACCCGTGAAGGTCCGGGTTAGAATTGACCTTCAGTAACCCATGCTTGTCGTCAGAGGCGACTAAGGCGATCGGGTGGTCAGGTTCGCTGACTTGACTGACACATGTCATCGTATCCCAGTTGCGTAGATCGATGCTCATGCTGTTGATCACTGGATTGTCTGGTCCAGACTCGATTATTTACAGACCGCTGTCATATAGGTGGAATATTGCTGAGTGCGGTGTAAAACTAAACTCACTCACTCACTCACTCACTCGGAGACGTGGATGTGAATAGGGCTACTAAGAAAACACGCCGTTCCTTTCATTCGTTGATCCCAGTTTCTGTTATTCAACATATATATTCCTGATCACGGTTCCGTCTGGAATAACGAGGTTTCGCGATATCAAAATTGCGTGATTGTGTGGATCTAATGGTGCGTACAGCCGCTCAGCTGACATCAGCTGATGGCCTGTAGAGGTCAATCGATAGATATATTAGTTTTTGCCAGCCGCGTCCGTCTCCAAAACACTGCGCTGTACAGCAATGTAGGAGAATGGGACGCCATGGCGACGACATTGAAATGAAACGGCGGACGTCGTGCGCTAGAGATAATGTACTCGGGTCTTCAAAGCATTATATTCATTATACATGTATTCATAAATAATGCCCATTACTGTCTGGAGATTGTACTGAGGCTCACAGACCATCAACCGCAATATTTTCCCTTCCGCCCCTCCCTTTAGCAATGCTAAAACCCAGAGACTAAGCGTAAGTCTAGTACTAATACTAGACTAACAACTAGTCTCTGAAATGAACATATTTTACTGAAAAATGTTCATAGTAAAGAAAAATATATATAATGAAAAGGAGCCCTGAGACTTTCTACTGAGTAAATCTAGACTTGCGTGGCCTTTCTTGGATATATTTGCTTCAGGGTCTGTACGACAGACTATACTAATACTAGTGACTTTGGTTTTTGGTGAAGTGCGTGAGTATGGTTTTGTGCCGCTTTTAGCAATATTCCAGCAATATCACGGCGGGGACACCAGAAATGGGCTTCACACATTGTACCAAGTGGGGAATCAAACCCGGGTCTTCGGCGTGACAAGCAAACGCTTTAACCACTAGGCTACCACACAATCCCTCGCCGCTTTGAAAGATATTACATTCAGAGGTGTCAACTTCCAGTCAAAAAAAGGTTCCCCAACGAAGCCATAAAGAACACTGAACATTTGATCGAAACGAAACCAAGCTAGTGATCGATAAATCGATAACGACATTAATCAATGTCGAGGAGGTTCTGTTACGTTCAAAGTCTGATTACATTGGTGAGGCTGGTCCTCTCGGCCTTCTTAACGAATCTTCTCGAATCGCTCTGTACAGACGTATCTCAGACGTGACATGGTGTTGGAGTGTTGCCACAAGAAATTGATTGAATATATCAACTTAAATAATTTTAAATAAATTTTCTTGAACTTTCATTGAATGAATACCTTGAAAAGAAGATGCCGTTTTTAATATGTTAATTAATAGACATATTTAAATATTCCACAACAAAACAAGAAACTTGCGTCATGGCGGATGTGGGAGACGTCACCAGATAAGTGTGTACCGGGTAACCCACAGGTTAACCGATTTCTCGTACAATTATACCTTGATCCCAATCCACCTGGCAACAGGGATGGGCTTCAGCACCTGCTTGTACTTTACCTCTAACTACACAATGCGCATATTCACACATTGCCGTTTTTAATGAGGAGCGTTGTTATTACTAGCAGAACCTATATGCACATGCTTTAGATGTTACGCTTTCCTAAATTTATACTGCAGGAACTATGTTGCCATAGCAACTGTAACGCTTGGAGTTTCTTGAGCTTTTGGGAGAAAACCCTTTTCAGACGGTGGATGCCCAGCCATGAAATATTCATCTGGTACGTGGATCCCAATGTTTCGGTGTTGATATTTTTTGGCCTCTTTTTCCTACAAAGTCACAGATCAATAATACATTAGAATAAATCTTAACTTATGAACACACAGTGTCATGGATCCTGGTGGGGGTGGTATCCGGTGGGGTGGGGCAGCGTTCGTAATTAACGTTGGTCCTTAGGTCCGAAGCCGACTGAAAACCACTCGGACTCACAGCTTTTGTTTTCTGCAGGTCCTTATGGCCGACAGCTTTTTCATAACCAATAACTACATTTGTAATTATAAGAGTATTATTTTTCAGAAAATATCATTCAGTAATTTCTCGTTTAAATTTTCTATACATAAATTAAACTCTTTAACTGAGTTTGTTAGTTGTCACAATTTTGGTTTGGTGGGAATTACTAATATTGTAGCTAAAATATAGGGCCTACACATTCTGATCAGGACCCAATTTTTTTTTATGGTTCTGGGTCCTTAGGGCCTCCAGCCTTTCAGGGCTAAGGGCAAGCACTGGGGTAGGGTGAGGGGCACTTTCGCCTATAGTAAAGGTTTATTGCGAAAACGGGCTTACATGACTTTCCCAATCGTCCAGGACACTAAGTAGTCTGTCATACAGACCCTGAAAAAAAATATGTCCAAAAGAGCCTATGCAAGTCTAGAATATGTGGCAAGTCTAGGTTACCACCGATTCAGTAACACAAAAATTAAAATTCTGAAAATGAGGTCTCTGGGCCCCTTTTCATTATATTTTATGATTATAATTTAGGAACCGTTTTTTCTGTAGAATATGTTCATTTCAGAGACTATATATTAGCGTAAGCACTCAGCGGGGAACGCAATAGCTCACAATGAACAGGGTGCCAACGTGCATCTGAATACAGGTGAACCTATAAAAACCCAAATCGTTATGACATTCTTAATAACAGATATAACTTTCAGTTTCATTGGAATGATGAGTTTCCACGAACAACATATTACTTGGCTCGCGTTCCACACAGTTTGTGTCAACATGTCGGTTGTTTCTTGCAAGAGGTCGTAGCCAAGGAAACGGTGCCATATTTGATTGAATGTTAGTTAGAATTGTTAATTGTTGGCGTGGACACACGGGCCATTTGTTGTTAGTCATGTGAGGTTATCAATAACAGGAAGTGACGTAGTAAAACATATATCCCGATCTGTAACAGGGAAGTCAAATATATATATCTCGGCCCATGTTTGCCACCGATCTTCAATACATCTAGTGAGTCTATTATATGGTTCCTTGGTGCTCGGAGGAAATGAAACAATCCTATGACACACATAGGCATTTAATGTGACCGAGTGCAAGCATGAGTCAGTGTCATGAAGTCACGTGATTGACAAGTGTCTTGAGAAGCATAGATTAATTTGTGAATCTAAATATAAACCTCAATTTAAATAGATCAGAGACTCTGGGGGTTATGTGTACTGCTTGGAGACTGCTGATCCAGCGAAAGTACAAAGATTGAGCCTTGAGCTTTCTTTTGTTCATGGTAGTTCTGATCAAAAGTGTGCGTGCGCGTGTGGGTGTCTGAGAATTAGTGTGTATGTGAGTGAGTGAGTGAGTGAGTGAGTGAGAGTGTGTGTGTGTGTGTGTGTGTGTGTGAGTGTGTGAGGTCACTGTAAATTGTGGCTTCTCTGAAATGGATTGGGGATGGGTGAGTGACTGTGTGTGTGTCTGAGAGTGAGTGAGTGTGTATGTATGTGTGTGTGTGTAAAGGTCACTGGAGAGAGAGAGAGAGAGAGAGAGAGAGAGAGAGAGAGAGAGAGAGAGAGAGAGAGAGAGAGAGAGAGAGAGAGAGAGAGAGAGAGAGAGAGAGAGAGAGAGTTGAAGGGTGGTCCGGTGTCACAGGTTCGTGTGGGGCATCATCTACGTAGATGTTACAAATATGTCAGACTAATACGCTCACATATAAACCAGAACAGGGATGCCCAGTAATAACCTGGGTCCACCACGACACCCTACCAATCACCACAGATCCCCCTAATCCGAGTCCTCCAGAATCTAGACACTCCTTCTAGATTTTTTCTAGAAAGAAAATGAATCCGGGAATCCGGATACACACGGAACAGTTGACGGATTTCCTTGATACAGCAGTGATTGGATAAGGTCGGGGCTGATAAAACTGGATTGAATCAGCATTTCTTGACTTTTAGAGACGCATTCTTTTGAAGTTTTCATTTTACTATATGCTTGGTAACGCATCTGAAGGGATAAACTCAAAATAAGATATATCACTGTTGCATAATGTACCTGAAGTGTTGGCGACCTGTTGTTTAACGCCGCACTCAGCAATATTCCAGCTACATGGCGGTGGTCTGTAAATAATCGAGTCCGGACCAGACAACCCAGAGATCAACAG